GCAGCCTTCACCCCATTTCCAGGATCCTCCCCCCCCCCCGACTCCTCTGTGCCTGCCTGGGTTACAGCAACACCCCTTCCCCCGCTGCAGCCACAGCCGCTAGACTCCCCTCCTGCCCCCCCAGTGAAACCCCCCCCTTTGACACTTCTAGTCCCTGCATAGCCCCCCCAGCCCCAGACTGGGCCATTTGCCTCCCAGTCCCCAGCCGTGCCGGCCTTTGATCCCCACAGCGTAGCCCACCCCCTCCACCAGCCCCCTGCTCTGGGTGCCTGCCCACCCACCACAGCTGGTGCTTGATTTATAACTGCCCAGCCTCCTTGGCCGCTGTGCCCCCCGCCTGGTGTGCTCTGACCCACTGCCCTGCACTGTGCCCTGCCTACCCCATCTCCCCCCTCCCGCTCCGGCTGTGCCCTGCCAGCCCCATCCGACTAGGTGCCCCCCGCCTGCTGTGCTCTGCTCCATCTCCGCCCCTAGTGTTCCCTGCCTACCCCCATCTGACACCCCCCCCACTGTGCCCTGCCTACCCCCATCCTACCCCCCTGTTCCCTGGTGTGCCCTGCCTGCCCTGTCCGGCTAGGTGCCCCTCCTACCCAGTGTGCCCTGCCTACCCCCATCTCCTGCCCCGCCTGGCGAGGCACACCCCACCCCATGTGCCTCAGCCCCTCAGGCGGGCTCCCCCATTTAGAGGGGGAAACTGAGGAACAGGGTGGCTAGGGGCTCGTCCATGGAGGCTGGCAGAGCAGGGTCCCAATGCGCCTGAGGCCCAGCCCCATGCACTAGTCACAAAGCCGCCCTCGTGTCGGTGAGCAGCACCGCACTGGGCAGGACCCGATCCTGGGGGGGGGGCGCTCTGTGCACAACCGGAACAGAACTAAATAATAAATCCAACCCCAGGGGGCGCCAGCGTCCCCAGCCACAGCCCCACGGAATGGTAATGGAGGGGTTGGATGGCTCTAGATGGCCCCTTCGCCAGGCCAGGACTCGGAGAGACCCCATTCAGGGACCCCCGGCTGGGAGCCAGAGCCAGAGAGCCCAGGGTCTGGGCGCACCCAGCAGACGCCCCTTGGGAGTCCTTGGCCAGACAGACAGACGCTGCGCCGCCGTAGGCGGATGGGGGGGATGGCCAGACAGACAGACGCTGCGGGGCCGTAGGCGGATGTGGGGATGGACAGACAGATGCTGCGCGGCCGTAGGCGGATGTGGGGATGGACAGACAGATGCTGCGCGGCCGTAGGCGGATGTGGGGATGGACAGACAGACAG